CGTCAAATCCTCCGATTCTGCGTCGAGCAGATTTTCGCGAGACCACGGTTCCAGGTGATGAAAGGCCTGTATGGGTCCCATTTCGGGATGGCGAGGGAGAAACCGCAGGACTCATTAACTTGATTTTATCAAGCAGTAAGAGCTTATCGTCAGGGAAATTTAATGAAGTGTCTTGTTCGACGTCCATTTGAAGATTTTTGTCTAAATCGTAGTAAGATAGGCTTAATTCCGGCGACGGCGAAGGCTCGCCTTTCAACGCGTCTAACTGCACCAGTTTTTGACGGGAAATACTTTCGAGTTCGGTGAACGACTTTTTGATGTTTTCTACTTCTTCGGTTTGGCGATCGGCGAGCTCTCTTTGTTTTGTCAATTCGTCCCTTGTTAATGCTATTTCTTGAGCAAGGTCTTCCAGATCGTTGACACTGACGCCAGAGGTATTACTGTCAGATTTTGATTCGTGTGGAGAACGCACAGAATAAATTTTTGTGCCGACGTTTTCCAAATCCGAAATGTGAACATCTAAATGATGAAGCTTACTCGTCTGATCTTGAAGCTCGAACTGAAGTTTTTCTCGACGAGTGCGTTCTTTCGCGAGTTCGTTCGCACAAGTTTCCTCGACTGCTAGTTCCTTCGCTTGAAGTTTTAAAACCTGCCCGAGTTTAGTGATTCTGTCCTCGGTGATTTCTTCTTCAGTGTAGTATAAATAATTTTCCTCGTCTTCGACGCAACAGTCAATCCGCAACTGCACGATTTCCAAATCACGCGCGATACGTTTCAGTTTATTGGATTGATTTGTAACAACTCTCTCCAAAGACTTCTGTTCAAAAGATCGATAAAAAGGATCCCCAGTTGTGTTTTCTTCGTCATAACAGAATTCTTTTCCGCCTATTGCAGCCGCATTTGGAGTTGATTTGTCTTTCATTAATTTCAAAACAAACTTGACTTCGCTCGCTTGTTTTCCCCACATCTGCAAGCATTTCATGGGCTTCGCTTCTCGCGGCAAAATCCTCTCGAGATCGCGCCATTTTTCGAGCAAGGCAAATCTTCCTAGCTTTCCCGTGGCGTTCGCGAGAGCGAGCAAGATGTTTTCGCATGTAGTATCCTCGTGGGCTCCTCGTACAACTCGCTCAACTCCATCCACCCAAACTCTCAGATCGCTCATCTTCGGAGTGAAAGAATCCTTTTTACAAAGGTCATCGCAAGATCATCGATCCTTTCTTTGATTTAGTAGATAGATTTTCCATGCCGGCTTCATGCTTGACTCGTCCGCAGCCCTTCAGATGAGGTTTTCACTTAGGACACAAACCTGTTCTCGATTTTCGAGGAGCGCTTTTTCAAGACGCCTCGCCAAACAACCGTCGGATGTCGGAAACATGCTTCTGTTCAATTTGTCTGCCAACGAAACTGAGCAAATAAAAGGCAAACGCATGCGTAAGGCTGGATTTTGTCGATGACAGGTCTCGCTTCTTGAAACTTTTAACAGGATGTTTATTTTGTTGTTTTCTTGTCAGACGCCGTTTGATTGATTCAAGATAAAATTAATTAAAGTTACACCACTTGTGAAATTTGGAATGGGCTCGGACTACTGGAACTAAGCTCGAGGATCGTGGAATTTCTCAGTCGTCGTCCCGGATATCCTTTAATTTGCATATAATTCGCTCTGGATGGAAATGGAAACCAATGGATCGAAACCAAAAGATGAACGGGAAGAAGAAGAACAAAAGTGAAAACATTTGTCCCAATACTTTTAAATATTTTAAATAATTTCTCAATTTTTTATCACATCATCTTAATTTTATGCAGGGCCCCTTTTGATACCAGCCTATGGCTGATGGGGCTACCCTGCCAAAATAAAGATGACTTGACTTGACTTGACTTGAATACTCCCATTAAAAAAAAGAAAAAGATTGGTGTGCGACTACAAGAATAGGATTATGGATCTGTGCATTTCATGCTAAGTGGCCCTGATTTATTTCAGTGTCGAACATAATTTGCTCTCATTTGAATTAATCCTTCAAAAATGATATAAAACATGTAAACAATAGCCTCCATTTGGTGTGAAAATATGCCAGCATATAATTTTGTCCTTGGACATTATCTGTTCTGAGAAACGAACAGTTTTCTGAGAGCAAAGATCAATGAAAACTGTGAGCTTTGAGGAACAGATAATGTCTAAGGACAAAGAGCAAAGCATATTTTTTAAGTCAAATGAGAGCTATTGTGCTATTTTTCACAACAGGCAGGATTTGGAAATTGGGAAGTGTCACTCGGATATTTCATAGTTTTAGTTGGGGTATATTCAATCACATGACATGTTTAGACCAATCACATGCAAATAAAATAATTTATTTTGATGGATTATAATAAGTCATATTTCAGGAAATTGACAGTTCTTATTAATTTTGATTTCAATATTAAGCACATGATTCATTCAGTCAAACTGAATTTTTATTTTCAATAAACAGCAATATAGATTTGATCCAATCAATGGACAATTCAAATTTACATCCAGAACTCTCTAATGGTCCTTGTTCCCCAGAATGATAACATTGGTTTTGAAAATCTACTTTGTTACTAAGGTCACTGTGAGTTATAGAGTTCAGAAAGCTGGACAGTGCTCTGTACCGTTCAACAATATCAAAGCCTACAGCTTTTTGAAGTTTACGCAAGCACACTGGGCAAAGAAATAGTGGTTGATTTTCTGCTTGAAGGATTGACTTACTTTCATTCATAGCACAAGCAAAATATGAGCAGTGAGCCATTCCAAACACATGGCAGATTTCATGACTTGCTACCTAGAAAACAAACAAATAATATTATTTACTTGGTCTGTAGCCTGTGGAAGTAAGTGGCATTTTCTTTCAGATACAAGACAAAATGATAAGTAAGAATACTGTCACAGCTCTCAAAGGGTCAAGAAAGCACATAGACAAAGAATGACGACATGGAGACATCAAAATGTTGTTTCATTTTTTAACTAATGCTGTTTTCCATTCCCTAATGTTAACACAAAGGATGCAAATTTTGAGTAAAGTCATTATTGGGACTTCTGTGTCCAGAGGGGGGTGGGGTTGGTTGGTGGGGTGATCAACTGCAGAAAATTTTTTTGACCATGAGAATGCCTGATCAGTAAATAGTCATTTGAGATATCAATCTACCTTTAGAAAACAGCCATAAGAAAATACGTGCACTGATTGGTTAAAAATTGTGTTTCTATAACTCAATAGAAACACAGAACTAGCACGAGCTGAGCTGAAGTAATGATGGCGCAAGCAAAGAGAATTCAAATTTTGATGATCAAAGTAAACAAGTTGTTTCCCTTTTTTTTTATCGCGGTCTTTTCTGAGAGAAAGAGAAAACATGTTCTCCATATAGTTATAGAAACACTCATGAAAGTTTGGGGGAACTCGAAAAAGCTGTGAAAACACTCGCCTATGGCTCGTGTTCCCACAGCATTTCTTGTTCTCCTGAACTTCCACTTGTGTTTCTATAACTCGATAGAAACACGGTACATGTTTTCTATTTCTTAAATACAGGTGCAGAGAGAAGATTGTAGGGGGAAGGAGCAGGTTTAAGGCCCATAAAAAATAGGAGCTAAGAGCTAAGAAGGGGCAGTAAATTTTTGGCTGTCTGTGTATTAGCTATTTTAACAAAGAAAAGGCAGTCTCCTCTCCTTGATTTCTCACATTTTATGCCACCCTTGTTCCCAATTATTTCATTTTACAGAAAATGTTATTGAACATTTTAAATGAGACATTTTGCTGACTTTCATGAAAAGCATACAAAGGGCCAAACCCTGTAGCAGCCTCACAGACGAGTGCAATTTCTTGAACTGCAGACTACAAAATGCAGGGATGTCACAAAGATTCGTCAATAAAAAAAAAAAACTATTTGAAATATAAAGAACCTCCATTGCGTTTTCTTAGGGTTTAAAGTCTTTAAATAGAAGTTTTCATTGAAGTAATAATCCTCAGTCTGCCACGTGCTCGGCAACGTTGCGAGTTAATTGTTTTCCTGTACTTTCCCAGCACTCTGATTGATGCGTGTTCTCGCGGTAAGTTTAAAAATGGAGTAAACTGATTGTAGCCAAAATGTGGAATATATTTCCGGAGTTTCTAAAGTTGTCAATGAGAAAAAGAATGAAAAAGTCCCAAAAGCTGCCTGTGATATGAGGGAATATGAGGAAGAGGGGGTAGTTTTGGGCGAGTGAAAACTGGTCCAGGCGAGTGCATTTTGAGGGTCACTTGTC